AACTCTGTATCTACAAGCTGGTCATGGATCCGGGATACAGCTACACACAGAGGTTGACAAGCATCAGCAATGTTCAATACATGTGGTCACGTCTGCCCGAGTCCCTAGAGTAATTGATGCAACACTGATGGTGAGTCATCTATATACCACCAGTCAGTGCCGTGTGGTATAACTCTGTATCTACAAGCTGGTCATCTATATAGACACCAGTCAGTGCCGTGTGGTATAACTCTGTATCTACAAGCTGGTCATACTCCGTTAATCCGAGTGATATCGTCCGGGTTAACACGTGTTCAGATTAACACACGGGTTTTATTGTGGCATTTGTGGATGTTCCTCGCGCCAGAAGAGTTTCCGGAATAAGCAGTGTCCCTCAATGCCACCTTGCAGCGGATCAAAATGAGGCAACTCTTGATGTGCACTCAGCGCGTCAGAATGATGTAGGTGAAAAATCTGTCTTAAAGGTTCATCACATTGATAAAACCTACAACCATAGCTTTCTGGTTTCCGAAACAACTGGCCTGTCGTAGCGGTGTGTGGACCTTGCATTACAGCACGAAGGGCCACATAAGGCAACATAGGAAATAAGGAGTCTGCTATTTTCTTGTGGATTCTCACATGTATGGTTTTGCCAGGACGTCGGAAATGAAATAATTATATTCATCAACTGAAGCAACAGTTAACTGTCAAACATGGCATGATGAAATTTCAAACACAACATATCTAGCTCATTTCAAGACTTTGGATATATCCCCTCTACAGCCAGAATTCTATATAAATCATGTTGAAGATAAAAACCTCCGACGAATACTATGCAAATTTGTAATATGTCCTTACGATTTTAAAGGAAATATTGCAAGGAGGAGTAAAAATGTTGACAATGTTAATATTATTTGTACAAATTGTAATGATCACACTCACAGCATCGAGGATGAATTTCATGTCTTGTTCGCTTGTCCAAACTATTCCAATTTACGAATGAAGTTGCCATGTCCATATCAAATCAAGAATATGTACGTACAATGACAAACCTGTTAAACTAAATAATTGTAAATACCCTTAAATCCGTTGCAATATTCCTGAAACATGTTTATCGTTTAAGATCTATCACGTGATTATATATATACTCTCAAATAACTGTACTCTATGCCATGTGGCCATACTACTGAATGGACGATTGATTGATTACACAAATAAGGCAAGGCTGAACAACACTGGTGACGAAGAGTGGCTGGATATAGGCAGGGATAATCTACAGCACGTGTTCTATTCTCCCTGATATACTTCTTTGATGGGCATTTTAGATAACCCTGTTCGCCACCCGGTGGTTTCTGTGTTCCTGCCCCAAACAAATGGCGTTTCTTAGGCTGTGGTCGAAATGTGTCTCTGTTCGCCCATCTGTGAATGGGTACCCGGTGGGATCATATGTAATGTGACAGTAAACCGTCCAGCGCTTCATGGGCAGGTTGGGGTGTATACAGTCACCAAAGAATTATATCGACAGCACACCGATCCTTTGGCCGCAGAGTTGTGATATAGGGTGCGCTTCAGGCTAAGCAGATCACTGCGAGCAACAGTTCAATCTGCATTGTTTAACACGTGAAGATCCGGGTTAGAATTGGTCTTCAGTAACCCATGCATGTAGTAAGAGGCGATTAACGGGATCGGGCGGTCAGGCTCGCTGACTTAGTTGACATATGTCATCAGATCCCATTTGCGTATCAGATGTTTGATAGGCATTTAGAAGTTGGTAGGGTAATACAACACACTTGATATGGATGTGCAACTTCTTTATTATTTACACACGACGTTTGTGTAAATAATAAAGAATCTGCACATCCATATCAAGTGTGTCGTGTTACCCATTTGCGTAGATCAGTGTTCATGCTGTTTATAACAGGATTGTCTGGTCCAGACTCGATTACAGACCGCCGCCATACAGATGGAATATTGCTGATGACGGCGTCAAACAACCAAACCAAACCATTTGTTAGTTTTTTAGAAATATAACTATCTCAGTGTTGTGCTTTAACAAACAAACATCAATCTGCATTGTCTGAATGGCGTGTATAGAAGGCATTGTACGTGAGCTTCTGTCAATAAATGCCAAGCGATGACGACGAGTGTACTTGACACAGTAGACTAACGTTTAGTCCCTGAATACATATAATTGTGATAGTAGCAAATAAACCCATTTAAATTGAAAAGGAGCCCAAGTGAGACCAGATATTCAACCTGAGGAAATCTAGACTTGCTTCATTTAGAGCTTTAGGGAGGGCTAAGCATTGGGGAAAATAATATGGTTCAGGGACTGTGAGACAGACTATTGACACAGCTGTGCTATCAGGTGAATAATGTATTATAATGTGTTCTGCTTACTGGAAATACTTCTGTGATACTTGTTCCCGGAGACGGTTTTCAACCTACTGCAACGTTTTATAATGTTTGGGTCAAATTCAAATCTAAAGTTTCTGCTTCCTTTTCTCCGTGAGTTTATCATGCATTAATGAAACACTTGCATGCATAAATATATACAACCACACTGAGTGCATGGGCCTCTTATGCTGTGGGGATTCTGGGTGGAACAGCCCTCACCATCATACACTGATCGAAGATAGGCCTATGCGACTTAGTGGATCGGGTGATCAGGCTCACTGACTTGGTCACGTGAACATTTTACCCAGACGGGTCGGACGTTCCTCACAAGTCAGTGATCACCGGTTTGTGTGGTCCAGACTGGATTATTTACCTCATATAGCTGGAATATCTCAAGTTGAGCAAACACAGACACATGAAGTCTTTGCACAGGCTTCAGACCCCTACTTGACATTACATTTACTGATCCAGCAAATATGTTAAAACAATACATGAGCATACAGCCTGTCTGTATAGCACTTTTCACCATACACAAACTGCAGTGCAGCTGTTAACAGACTGATGCACAGCAAGTGTGGGGCAGCTTTACCCCGATATACTGAAGATGATAAAATGATATATGGAAAGTATGAATCGATGACATACATTTCTACAGGAGCATTTCGTGCGCTGGTTTATGAATGAGCTACGGCAGATGTCAGCTGGTGTACAGGTGTTTGATTAAAGCTTGACTGGCTCTATATATTAACACACACGTAAACGTGTTTTGTACAGTATTCTCGGTCATGCACAATCACAATATCAGGCTTAGGTTAGCCATGGGGTCAACAAGAACATGTATCTAATGCATCTCTTGATACAATATAGTCATGACAGTAAACATGTATTCATATACATTACCATACCGGTAAGTGACTCACCGGATGACATGTCAAAAAATATATCTTAATAAATAAATTTAAATAAATTAAAATAAATAGAAACAATCCACAAAAATACACCCAGGAGATGTTACCTGCAGTTTCGAGCAACTAAACTGAACATGAAACCGAAATTGTGTGATGGCTTGTGCTTGTCTAATACACGAGTTTTGGTTATTAACTTTAGCGAAAGGTGTTGATACTGTGTCTTTCATCGTTCTTCCATCCACACATGTAGGCAGTTGGCAGTTGGCGTCGTTTTACTATTGATTCCATATTGATGTCACGACATGAAAATATTGCTACAACTAATTCGACTTTACATATTTACATATTGATACTAAATATTTTTTTATACTCACACCAAACAATTAACCCACTTTAAAATTGCGGGGCTTTTGTTTTCAAATGCCCATCATGTCCAAACTCGTGATAGTCACTATACCAGTTGGGGCAGGGGTGGCAGTACGTGGGGAACCAGCCGTGTTGCTTGATGCCAGTCTACAGTCTCTGTCTACATGTATTCTAGTGTCGTGTCATGCCACACGGTCATGTTAGGTCAGGGTCACCATTAAACGCAGAGGGATACATATAAACAACCTAAAACTGGACTTAGCTGACAAATTAATCTTTGTATGTAATACTACCTCAGTGAATGAGTTGGATTTTACGCCACTTGTAGCAATATTCCATCATTTATTCACACTGCATATTGCACCTAAAGATCAAGCCTGTATAGCCTCCCTTTAAACGCTGTGATACCTGCTCCATTGAGGGAAAACGCGCAAAGTCATGTTAGATCTAACTTATTTACTTCCATGCTAAAGATATCAGTAATAGGCTAATGTATGTTGTTAGAATCAATGTGTAAATGAAGAATTTACAAAATGCACAAATGTCGAAGTCATTTTATACAAACTAACTGAAACATCTGCCGATTTATTGACAGATTAAGTAAAAATGTTTTTATGTTAAAACTGGCTGAATACATCACCATGGATTAATCATGCAAAGTTTAAAGGGATTACAGAATAATGAAATAATATATATTGATTTAGTTTTTTTACTCGTCTTCAGTCACTGCATGGGTGAGAACATCTATATTTTTAAAAGTTTTGAATTTGCTATCATATAAAAATAATGGGGCAGATGTTTTCAGTCAGTTTGTAAAATGAATAAATACTAAGGCTTTTTACAAATTGACTGCCTTTGTGGCAATTTTAGTCATTTTACACACTGACCGATTTACACATTGACATTGTGTAAAACAGATCTTGGTGGATTAAAAGTCCACGCAAAGACTATATATAAACTGAATATCTATATCTTTTATCAATCACTAATGTATGTGTTAAATAAAATACATATCAAACAAACTGTGACAAAGCAAATAAACTATACAATCTTAAACGTAAGAGATAATATTGATAATGTGTTGATTTAGGAATGTATCTAGGCCTTTCATTCCGAGTACATTCACCATGTACACACAGATAATATATCTTTGTGGTGAATCTCCTGATCACCATTGTTTGTGTATGGCGACCGACAGCTGCTGTTGTAGTCTCTGGTGCGTGGTACGCAAGTCAAGCAATATTTAGTGGTAACTCCCGTCTTTGTTAGAAAAACACCGCGGAAATGTCAATTTAAAACGCGCGCGCACTTGTCGCCGTCATTCTTTGATAACAGCGCCACCTGCCCGACACTCTGACAGTTTAGCGGAAGTGCGGAATTCACTGAAACCGAAATGGCGGCTGTAAAGCAGAACGTTGAGACGTGGAAAGCCAGACTAGACAAGGTTCTACACGAGAAGAATGGCTTCACAGACCTTTTGGAGAAGATTGAAGTGAAGACGGGCGTCCGGCGACTTTACATCGCTCTAGGTGTGTGATGCTTTTCGTTATTAAAGGCCAGTTGTTGACAATGTCAGAAACACATCCCTAAACTGGAAACTAAATCCTCCTAGCACGCCTTCATACGATAATACTTTAAATATTCCGTATATGCACGCTAATTACGATACATGAGTCCGATGTTGTATTTGTGGTTGGTTGTGGTTGTAGCATGGTTTAGACGGCTAGATGATTAGCACGAGACGGAAATTAAAACTGCAACATTGCACAGCTGTTGATTGGATCCCCAGTTGATGAAAGCACACATCATAGGAAGGCTCAATCCAAAAATGGTCATGCAAGCATCCTAACCATGCAGGCTCCTAATATTTAATATATTTCCAATTTTCATGTAATATGGAAGGGGTTTGAGATAAATGCACCAATATATTTTCTATGTCTTTTTTGCATGTCCTAAGTTAACATTTTGTTCATCATGCTGCCAAAGCCATTGGGATTACCCCATGCTGACACAGACATGTTATAAAAACTAGCCTAATTCATTTCATGAAATATCCAGCAGATTTTTATAAAGATTTTATTCATCCTAATTGGTGTGGTTCAGAAATATTATGGTAATGTTTTCTCAAAGCATTTGTTTAAGGCGTTTATTGGAAAACTTTCTTGTAATGTTTTTCGAAATATTTGTACAAATAATTTTATGTTTCCAGAAATGAGTCCGCAACCAATTTGTTTCTAAATATTGGAACTAGTTGTTTTCATCATTTAAAAAAAAGAAAACCAGGATGTAAAGCCCAATTAACAGTGTCCTGGTAAACAGTGTTTCATTTGAAAAACACCAACTAAATATAACTTTAATGTATATCATCCACACATCTTGTGAATAATGCAAATTGCATATAATCCGATACTGTCACCTGTAGACACATGACCTCATACCACAGGCAGCCTACGTTCAAGGGTCGTGATCAGGGCATGCTGTTTGTTGTAATACAGCAATTCACCATTCAACATGTTCAATGTACTGTTAGTATATGTCTAGTGTTGGACTGCCAGTATAGGATGAGTGATTTTTTATGAAATCATTTCCATTATATTTATATTTATATATTTGAAAGCAGTGGGTAACGGAAAATGAAATACCCACTCAACATTCATAATACCCACTCCAAAACAATACAGTGGGTACGGTACCCACATGAGCTAATCTTATCTGGAGCTCTGATGTCATATTATTTTAACCAACTATTGCGTAAAATGACCAGAAAAACTTCTTAAATTATTGTTTATCTTCGTTGTCTTAACTCTAATAGATAACTTGTATATATAACTAGAACTTTCCGTCACAAGAAAACCATCCAGTAATTGCAGTAAATGAATCCTAAGCAGAAAAAGCTGCTCAATATTTCCCTGCAAACAACGATCAGCATCCACATGATGGTTTTGCAATTTAGATTCATCTTCACAGCTGGTCTTGTTAATTGAATGCTTGTTTTCACTAAGCCTGAAACGTAGACTCCTGAGTACGGCCCAAAATTATCTTGTCTACAGACTTGTGACACCTCATCAAAACCTTTACATGTTGGCCCATATATAATCATTTCTCAGAGAGAAAGACCAGACAGACCCTGTGATTAATATTGTAACCTGTGTCAGGACATAGGAACTAGATGACCAAATTATCAGATATTTAATCACCCCTAATGACAAACACAGATTTCAGTTTTCTAACCTAGAAGAGGCATTCAAACTAGTTTTGATTTAGTCCATAACACCCTGTATGATCACTCATCTACTGCAGCATGTCAAGGTAGCATGACATCATTCAGTGATTCACTCATTCTAACACCGACTAAAATTGTCATTCATTGCTGCATCTGACATGTGCCAGGATAGATGGTGTCCGGAGCAACACAGTGATAATGAACTTTTGGTAAAATATGATTACTGTTATAATGAAGACTGGACACACTTGGCTGGCTGCAACAGGTGGTGTTATATGGAATCGCTGCTTGTGAAGGCACTTGAAGCTGATGTGACTGTTGTTTCTCTTCATTGTTAGCTGAGTCATTATTGGTTATTGACATCCGAAAATTGGAGCATATAGAACAACACATGTAGGCCACAGCTACTTCGTATTCATCATATTGTGTGCTTATTTTATGTGACAGGTTCAACTGAATCATCAAAACAGTTGGTTTCAGTTGTCTTATGTGATTGGGGAGAGCTGTAACTGACCAACATATTTCAAGTTACAGTAACTTCTAATGGAGTAGTTGCCATGGTTCCTGTGTACATAATGGGTGTAATCAAATGGTCTGACCAGTGTTTGTAGGGGGTTTGTCTGTATGTCTGTTTTCTTGAGTGTCTGTTTTGTCTTTACTTTGTGGATTTGCATAACTTAGACATGCCAGAAATCTGTGATTTGCAGGTTCAGTTCAAATCTCCGTTTTACAGCTTTTTCCAAAGTGGTAAACAGCTTAGACCTGCACCACTTTAGCTTTTGTCTTGCATTAAAACTGTCATGCCATGAATGGAGTACTGTTCTCTCAACATCTGTTTGTGATTATATTTCTGTTGTCAGTTGATATTGAGGGCTGGTGTTATACTAGAGGATGGTTTTCTATATTTGTCTGATATAAGATCAATCGAGTAAATATATTGTTAGACAAAATTAAGGCATTAACTTTATGTCTTGCTGAATAGAAGTTCATCCTTCTTAATCTCCTTAGAGCAAACATGCTTGTCGTAAGAGGCGACTAACGGGATCGGGTGGTCAGGCTTGCTGGCTTGGTTGACACATGACATCGGTTCCCATTTGCGCAGATCGATGCTCATGCTGTTGATCACTGGATTGTCCTGATCCAGACTTAATTATTTACAGACCGCTGCCATATAGCTGGAATGTTGCTGAGTGCGGCATAAAACTAAACTCACTCACCTTAGAGCAAATGTCAAAACTGCTTAATCTGTGATTGAGAAACCTGTCAGTGTATATTTACGACTGGCGATAACCATGTTGCATGGGTGATTTTATAGGATGCTTTAATCACACTCGCTGGGATCATGTCGGATGAAGTTTATTATATTTTTAAAATTAATGGCAAATGGCAAAATGCCCAATTGAGTTTGAGTGAGGTGAGTACAATTTATTTGGTTACTGAAAGGAAAATGAGGGTACCCAGTTGAGCCAATGACCCAAAGGAAGTTTAGCGTGCCACGTGGTTGAAATATTGCAGTATTTACCAAGTATTTCATGTCGCGTGGTCGCATTCACGTAATTTTCAATGTTTTGTACGTGTATATTTATGCTGCTGTGTTCAGCCGTTAGCTACATGCTTGCGTGTTTGCTTTTAGACGTTTACTGGGTGTACTGTCTGCGGGCAGAATATCCCGAGAGCTGATAGGCATGACAAATGCTTGTGCTGTTAGAGAAAGCAGGGCATAACTCTGAAATCTGCGAACTGTGTCTGACCTTTTCCCCCCGGGCCCAGAAGAGACGGGCCGCTGATGTCCTTTTTTATAAGGAATTGCGAGAGGCGGGAGGGGAACTGACCCAGAAGGTCTCCCCGTCCAAAGCCAAAAAGGCTAAACCAGCTAAACCTAAGTCTTCGCATAAATCGCATTCCCAATCTCAATCCCAATCTAGTGGTTTTGATATGTCAATAATCACTCAATTGTTTCAGCAGCACATGGACTCCGTGAAGTCCCTTGTTCATGAGTCCGTAGGAGGTCTCCGCCAGGAGTTCCTCGCCCACTCTGAACAGGGGATGGGATCGCCGAGCCCGGCTCGATCCCTTAGCCTGGAGGCGACTGTTGATCCTTTGCCTTTGGCTTCGGGTCCAGGTGCCTTGGCTACCCCGAAGGGGGAGGGATAATATTGATAATGTGTTGATTTAGGAATGTATCTAGGCCTTTCATTCCGAGTACATTCACCATGTACACACAGATAATATATGTTTGTGGTGAATCTCCTAATCACCATTGTTTGTGTATGGCGACCTACAGCTGCTGCAGCAGGCATACCAGACTTACGAGGAAGTCTACCGGAATGCCATGCAACAGGTGCGGCTGCTGGTCCACGAGGCTTACCTTTCCCCTATCCAAAGGTCTGCTCTGGAGGCGGAAGGGAGCACTGGGGACGTTTCCCCGAATGTTTTTCTGCTTCGCCAATTATCCAAAGTGCAGGTCCACCTGACGCAAGACTCGTTGCGGTCTGCCGCGTCTACGGTGATGTGCGCAGTCATGGGGATGCGCAAGCTGTGGCTGTCTACATCCCGTTATTCGGCAGCGACACAGCAGACCTTGCTGGCCGTTCCGTTTCGGCTGGGAGCGACGATTCCGGGGGCACAGCAGGTCATTCGGGAGGCTGCTGCAGCAGGACTCTAAGGCTCTGTTGGAGCAACCGCGGGCTTCTCGCTCCCGTAGCGGGTTCTTCCTCCGGGGCACAGCCTACGCCCGAGTCTGCCGGCTGGCTTCGGCCGCTTGGCAGAGGTAGGAGGAGGAGCCGTCCCGCCAAAGGTAAGGGCAAGGAGCAGTCCTCTTCGTCTGGCTCCCAGCAGCCTTTTCGTGGTCGCGGGGGGTCTGCCCCGACCTCCCGTTAAACCAGCAGGCTGTCGCCGTGGGTCCATCCCAGTCAGTTCATCTGCAGGGGACCACTCAAGCTTACCACACCTCCCAGTGGGGGGCTGCCTCTCTCTATTCCTGCCGGAGTGGGAGAAGGCTACCAGCAACACTTGGGTGCTATCCACCGTCAGTGTCGGCCATCTACCACTGTGGAAGCGAGGCCCGCCAGAGTTCAAGGCATACGTCGCACTCCGGTGCTGTCATGTCCAGTCAAGGCGGATATACTGTGAGACGAAGTTCAGACTTTGCTGGACAAGTCCGCAATAGAGCGCATACCACCGGGCGGGGAACAGGCAGGGTTTTATTCTACGTACTTCCTCATTCTGAAGAAGGACGGCTTGTTCCGTCCCATTCTCAACCTCAAAGGGTTGAATCGCATGCTAGAGGTTCCATCCTTCAAGATG